CAGGCTCAAACCCCAAGGCTTCACAGATCCCCTGATGATAGGAAATGTGCACCGGTGAAGGGATGGGTATCAGAACATTATATGACTAAAACCCAATCATGAACAACTTTGTAACTGTGTATATTACTATGATTCAATTAAAAAAAAATCCCCCTGAGTCCTGCCATGTTTTATCCCTGAGGGTAGAGCCAGGATTTGCCCTGAGCACAGCGAGGTGTTACCTCAAAATCATAATAAATAAATATAATAATAATATTTACATAATGACTTTTGTAACTGTTCATGAAGGCTAAGCTTTCCTTCCTCAGACAGCAGCACTGGGCTGGGTTTGGAATTTCTAATTTTCATTGATCACAAAACACTTGATTTCACCAAAAGCATGAGAGCATGGCCTCCATGACAAAAATCAGCTTTGAAACAGAACAAGAAGAAATGAGCATGGTTCCTGATGTCTTTCGAGAGGGTTGGAATATGTTGTGCATAAGACAGATCTTTGTGCATAAGACAAGAAGGCACGAATCTCACCATGCTGTTTTCGACACCGGAGAAGAATTGTTCCTCGGAACATGCGATAAAAGAGGTGTTGGAGGCGTCGGTGTCCTTGTCAACACAAACTTGGCCAAGAGCATTGATTCATTCGAATGCCTAACAACCCGAATCGGATGTTTACATTTGAATAGATGTGGCTCACTGCCTGCAGTTTCTATCTTCGTTGTCTACGCACCAACATCTCATTATGATGAAAGAGAAATCGAGAAGTTCTACATGGACCTAGAGAAGTTCTATAAAGAAGACCACACCTTCTACAAGATCATTGTGGGTGATTTTAATGCCAAGATAGGACCGAGAAGATCAGCTGAAGAACTTCACATCGGGACCCATGGCCTAGAATGGAACGAACAGGGTGAGAGACTGTCTGAGTTCATCATGTCGACCAAGACCATTCATGGTAACTCACAGTTCCAGAAGGCAGAATCTAAACGATGGACATGGGAGTCTCCCGGTGGACGATTCCACAACGAAATAGACCACATCATATTCAATCGACGGTTTTGCCTGACTGATGTCGCTGTTGTCCCAAAATTTCGAACGGGATCGGACCACCGTCTCCTTCGTGCAAAATTCTACTTCACAGAGCGGGGAGAAAGGGCTGCAAAGTTCAAAAAGAGAACTCCCAGAATGACCACCAACTGGGAACTCTTTGGTACTATTGCGGCAACATGGGAAGATGCCATTGTTGACAACATTGACGAGGAATACGATCGACTGGTTCAGCACCTCCATGAATGTGCGAGGAACGCCAAGAGAGAGATAGCCACAAAAAGTCGCCTATCTTCGAAAACTCTTGAGCTAATTCGCCAGCGTGGTTTGGCGCATGCCTCAGGCAACCGCAAGCTAACGTCCGAGCTTGCAAAGCAGTGCAGAGATGCGATCAAGGAAGACCTCAAAGAGAGAAGAGCAGAAGTACTGATAGATGCGGCAGAAGCCGGGAAAAGTATTCGTAACGCCCGCCTGTCCTTCGCCAACTATAAGACCAAGATGACTGCCCTCCGATGTCCTGATGGATCCATCACATCCTCCAGAACGGCAATGGAGAAGATTATCCATGACTTCTACTCAAATCTCTTCGATAGCCATGTCCACTTGCCGACATACCAAATACCACAGGATGGGTATGTGGTTCCTAACGTTCTCCCTTCCGAAATCCAACACGCCATTTCGTTGGTAAAGAAGCAAACAGCACCCGGCCCAGACAAGGTCAGACCTGAACACCTGAAGAACCTGCCGTCAGTACTCATCAATACACTGGCTCGGCTCTTCACTCGCTACCTGTCTGAATGCAAGGTTCCGTCCCAATGGAAAACCAGCAGGACCGTACTACTGTTCAAGAAGGGAGACATCCATGACATTGGCAACTATCGCCCGATCTGCCTATTGTCTGTCATCTACAAGCTGTTCACTCGAGTCATCCTGAATAGGATTGGCAGAACACTAGATGAAGGACAACCATGCGAGCAAGCAGGGTTCCGCAAAGGATTCAGCACCATCGACCATATCCACACGGTAACCAAGCTCATTGAGGTTTCTCGGGAGTTCAAGATGCCGCTCTGCTTAACGTTCATTGATTTAAAGAAGGCCTTTGATTCTGTTGAGACGGAAGCGGTCATTGAAGCCCTAGCCAATCAGGGCATTCAAGCCCAATACATCAGGATCCTCCGTGAGCTGTATTGCGGATTCACTACCAGGATCTCACCATTCTACAAAGAAGTGATCGTTGATGTCAAGAGAGGGGTGCGGCAGGGTGATACCATTTCACCGAAACTCTTCAGTGCCACCCTCGAGAACATCATGCGACGACTGGAATGGGAAGGAATGGGAGTGAAGATAGATGGTCGGCAACTACACCACCTCCGCTTTGCTGATGACATTGTTTTAATAACACCAAACATCAGCCAAGCGGCACAAATGCTGGCCGACTTTGACTGTGAGTGTGGAAAGGTAGGACTACAGCTGAATCTTACGAAGACAATGTTTATGAGAAACAGCCTTGTTCCTGACGCCCCATTCGCTCTCAATGGAACGACCATCTCTGAATGCAACAGCTATGTGTACCTAGGTCGAGAGGTCAACATGACAAATGACCTGGCACCCGAGCTGCACAGGAGGAAGAGAGCGGTTTGGAACGCCTTCAAGAACGTCGAAGAAATAGCTAAGAGGACGAAGAACCTCCGGCTCCGGGCACATCTCTTTGATTCCACTGTTCTTCCTGCATTAACATATGCCTCAGAGACCTGGGCCCTACGCAAACAAGATGAGAACGCCATTCAGGTCTCCCAAAGAAGAATAGAAAGAGCTATGCTTGGAATATCACGTTTCACTCAAATGAGAGAACGAATCCGGAGTTCTGACATCCGTCGACGATCAAGGATCAGGGACGCTGTCTCATTTGCCAAGGTGTCTAGAATCAGATGGGCTGGTCACGTAATGAGATTTAAAGACGACCGTTGGACTAGAGCTGTTACTGATTGGATTCCACGGGATGTCAAGAGACCGCGTGGCCGCCCACCTACCAGATGGTCAGACTTCTTTGTCAAGATCATGAACGATCGGTTTGAGGCCCTCCATGTTCCCGGAGCGAAGAGATGCCATTGGGCTACACTGGCACGCGACAGGGACAAGTGGAGACGTTACTGGCGCCCGCTCGAGCAAATCGACGACTAACGGGAAGTTAAGTGATTAAGTGATTAAGTGAAGACAGATCTTTTAGCAGATCTACTCGCAAGGAGTGGAGCAACAACAGATAGCAGACCCACCGTGTTGAGACTCGTCACAAATACCTATCCAGGAGCAAGACATTTTTACACATTGAAAAATACTTCTCAGAGCAAGGACCTGAGAGTTTTAGTAGGGTAGGAGTGGGGAGAATAGCATGGGGAAGAAGGAAGCCAAATGTCTCAGGAATTGGGATATTCCATTTCAATAAATCCTCAGCCACTTGATTAGAGGGTAGGCATGGAACACCTTTTCTTTAGTTTTAGTTTTTGTAATGCTGGAGGCAGTGGGTCATGCAGAACCCGGGGCCTTACCTTTAAGGCAAATGCTGAACTGCTGAGTCTCTGATTAATATATCTACCTGGGCCCATGTTGGGATAAACATACATAATGGGGTGGAGGCTGAGGAAGGGCGACATTCTGGGCCATACCTTGTGGTACTCAGAAGTCATTCATGGCAGTGCTCTGGGGACCATATGTGGTGCCAGGGATCAAACTAGGGTCAACCACAAGCGAGACATGTGCCTGAACTCTATATTATCTCTCCAGTCTTGGGATATATTTTTCACAGAATTGGAAGAACTGTTGTTTCTACCCAGGATAAGTAACCACATACTTATTCATTTATTCAATGCCACACATGATATATTCATTCAATATCATGCATCGTATACATGCATATACACGCATCCTAACATTGTCAGGAACTATGTTACATGCTGGGGATTCTGTGATCAACCTCTAGTCTTGGGCTCTAGATTTACGGCTCTTATATTCTAGTGAAAAGGAGATGACAAAGAAAAGTAAATGTGTAAAGTAATGACTTGTGATAAGAAAAATGCTGCTATGACATGTGGAGACCCTGCAGTGATTGCATCAACAACTTGGAGGCCTGCGTTAGATAAGGCACTCACAGATGCCTTCTCTTGGGAGTTCTGAATGAGTTTGAGTCCGTCACCTGAAAAGCTGGGAAAAGAGCATGAGGAAGGTTAGGGGTGTGGTTCAATGCCATGTGTGAGGCCGTGGGCTCAATTTCTGGCACCAAAATAGATAATGAAAAGTAGAAAAAGAATCTTGCATTTAACTGGAAAACAGAGAGGCTGGAGCAATAATACAATGGGTAGTGAGTTTGCCTTTACACGAGGCCAACCCAGGTTTGAGCCCTGGCATCCAACTCGGTCCCCAAATCCCCACCAGGAATGATCTCAGAGCACAGAGCCTGAGGACCACTGGGTGTGACACCCCTCTCCCCAAATTAATTTGAAAAAAGAGCATTTCATGCAGACATGCTGAGACCATTGCTGAGATAGGGAAGAGCTTGGAGCACTGAAGGCGCTTCAGAGAAGACTCTGGGTATCTGAGGAGAGGCAGGAGGGACATGCAGAGGAGCCCCGTTTCTCGTTTGCACCCAGGATCTGCAGGTCTGGTTCAGGAAACTTAATACAGGCTTTAGATCGTCATTTCACAAGACATAACCTGATGTATGTTTAAAAGTATCACCCTGGGTAACAAAATGAATAAGTGTAACTTTTATTTCTGAAGAGGCTAGCATTTAGGAAAATCAAAACACATCGCTGGTGTCCTTTCAAACATCTAAGTAAAAAAACACCTAAAAGAGTAGATAGGTAAAAAGCCCTAAAGAGACACCTGAAGAGCAAACAGTTAAAGAATGGAGCTCAGTTTAAAGCCAAAAGAAAAAAAGCAACAAATCAAATAGAACCACATACCTCCTCGTTGTACCAACAATGTGACCTCGCTTCCCTTCGGACATTCGATCAGCATGTCCACGACCTGGTTGTGAGTCAGAGCCTGCACATTCTTCTTATTCACTTCCACGATCAGGTCCCCTTCCTTCAGGCCTCGGCACCTCGGACTGTCCACGATCTGTTTCACTCTCTGGCCACCACCACCAGGACTGTCTGCGATCGTGAAGCCAAAGCCCATTGGCCCTTTAACTATGTGAACAGTTATGAGTTCAGGCTGAGTGGCTATGGAAGAGGCCAAAGAGACAGTGTCGTTGGGGTAACCATGGGAACCATTTGACGCCACATCAGCAGGACTGCTTGGCCGGGCATCCTTCATGCCATTGACTTTGCCTGTTTTACTACTGTGACTAGCTGGTGAATCATAAGTCTCTTGACCGTTCACAATAATTGGTTCTTTGTCCAAAATGGCCACGGAGGTCACTAAACTTGTATTGGGGTCATCTGGGTCAAAAGGCAGGGGATAACCACGGCAGAGTTCAAGGTCTACACTGGCACCGATTGGAATGGACTGGAAGATTTTCACAACTTGCGCATGTGTGTGTCCCAAAACACAGGTGTCATTCACACTGACGATTACATCTCCTGTGAAAGAAAAGAATTTGGCAGTTAAAAAGACAGTACTGGGGCCAGGGGCTAACTGTGCTGGAGCACATATCTGCATGCAAGAACCCAATTTGTGACACTGCGTGGTCCCCTGAGCACTGCAGGGAATGACCCGAAGTACAGAGCCAGAAAGAACTTGTGGGTATCACTGGGCATGACCCAAAACAAAAGACAGTACCCAGAAAAGCCATGCACTACTATAATATCCTACCAATAAAAGGCTGATTAGGGGGTGATAAAGAAGAACACAGAGACTGCTCCTATTATTTTAACTGCTAAAAATGTATTCTTTTGGGATCCAGTATCTTCCTTGCTAATAAGAATACAGTGATTTTTTAAAAGAAGTCGGAGAATCTTGCTCATTCACAAGGTTTTTAAAGATTTATCAACTGTTTTATCCTTCTGTTTTATCCTTCTCCACTGCCAAGTAGAAATCTCTCCACATAGTACATTATGAAGGCCGGGGGTGAAGGTGTGTGTGTGGTGGGGGTCTCTACCTGTTTCCATCTTGCCATCGAGTGCAGCAGGACCATCCAGGACCAAGCTCTTGATCTGCAGAAACTCATCAGGTTCATCCCCTCCAACAACTGTGAAGCCAAAACCACGACTGCTTTTCCGTAGCTTCGTGTGAATGAACTTGCCTTTCAACTCAGAAGGGTTTCGTGTAAAAAAGGGTTTGCCTGGAGAAAAACAAGAAAGGTGCAAGTAATGTCACTAGATGAAATGATATTAAACAGGAAATGACAATGCTTTCAGCTACAAGACTCTTTGATTCTATTATAGTTTAAAAGTTTTTAAATACATTTTGCAAGTGTGCTGCCTTGGGCGTGGTTTCTATTTGTAAAACCCATTTAGCTAACACTTTAGCTTTTAATCAAACAAAAAACTATTATGATGATGTATAAATAATACTAGGAAACATATTATAGCCATGCTATTTTTTTAAATAAAATTACAGATCACTATTTTCAAAATTAAAAGTTCTAACTTTAAATTGAATTTGGATGTGAACTGGCTTTTCCGATTAATCTGCAATTTTAAGTAATTCATGAAGCAGACAGTCAAGTCTACTCTAAAATTTAGGGGGTATTTTTTGGTTTGTAGGCCACATCTGGCTGTTCTTAGGGCTTACTCCTTGCTCTGTGCTCAGAGGTCATTTCTGGTGTGGGCCTGGGGGACAATATGGGGTGCCAGGGGTGAAATCAATGTTGACTACATAGAAGGCAAGCACCTTACTTGCTGTACTATCTCTCCGATCCCTAAAATTAAATTTTTTAAGAAGGCTATAACATGTGACTTTGCATACTTAAAATATACAACCCCCACAAATGAATATAGTACTTTCAAAAGGTTATACCCACCCAAATTGAATTCTCTTTCTATATCCTACATTTCCACAACCTCTTCATCTATTCTTAAAAAAAAAATAATAAAACATGCTGCCAATACTACTGGACTGGAGCACAAGCTATGAATTCAGGAGCCCTGGATTGACTCCTGGCACTACTTTATCCCCTGAGAACCACTGGGGAATGACCACAGAGACCACACAGGGAGTAGCCCCTGAGCACTACTGGGTGTGGTCTCAAAACAGAAACCAAAGAATACTACCACTCAACTCTAAAGATTGATGAAATCTTGTCATTTCCAACAGCATGGAAGGCATTGGATGGGCCCATGCTAAGTGAGAAAGTCAGAAAAAGAAACAAGCAATAGACCATCTCACACCTAACTAGGACACAGGGAAGTAAGGCAAAGGAACAGACAAAGCCAGTGAAAAAGAGGCCTAACTGAAGGGAGAGGGTCTGAGCAAGATTCAAAGGCAACCCAGTGGCCCAAAGGGGAGGGGTACTGGTGTGGGTGGGTGGTAGGAGAGGTGTAGTCCCAGACACCTGAAGAAGTGTGAAAATGCACACACGCAGCGTTGGAAACCAATGTCACCTCATCTGGGGACAACTGAATACACTGCCCTAGCCACCACCTTGCCAACGTTCTCGAAAGCAGCAGCAGAGGAAAAGTCACCATAAACCCTTGCTCCCTGGAGGAAAGTTATTTTCGGTTAGCTGTATCTAATAGGCCTTTTCAAAAAGGTCTCTGGGCACCCGTACAATTTTTAATTGCATATTATAAAAGTTTCTGGCTCCTAAACAGGCTCCTTTAACTGCTGAGAGACAGAGGTCCGCTCACTGAGCTCCTCTCAGGCCCAATATTGGCTGCAAGATGACAAACACCATGGCCTGTCACTGTGGCTGGGAAGACAGGACTCCCTGGGCTTCACCATTCAGTCACCGGCCAAAAAGGCCATGAAGATGAGGTCAACTTCAGGGAAGGTTTGTTGGATACAGTTGCCATGGGAACCACCAGGCAGGAAACGAAGGACAAGTGAGAAAATCCCTCAATTTTACACTGGGGGCACAGACACAGATAACATTCTGTTTTTGTTTTGTTTTGTTTTTTGGTGGGGGGGAGGCAAACCCTGCAGTGCTCCAGGGCTATTCCTGCCTCTACTCAGGGAAATTCCTTGAAACGCTGAGGAACATATCAGGTGCCAGGCAGGGATCGAACCTGGGTCAGCCATAAGCAAGGCAAGTGCCTACACACTGTACTATTTCTCCAGGGTCAGCACAGCTGAGATTTTGAGACAGAGGCTGCTAGGCTGTAAGAGAAGCTTGATGGGAAAAAATATATATCATGACAATCAGAGGCATTAAACAGGGTCTTCCTGTTAGACAGGGCTCAGCAGAGAGTTCATGCCTTGCAGGTATAAGGTCAGAAGTTCGAAGGCACAATACCAATGAAAGAAATCAGTAATTAAAAGGATCATAGTCTCAGTGACGCTTTCTTTGAGCATTATTCCCGCCCAACAGAGTATAAACTACATCTATGGGTTTGGGGTTTGTCTTGCTCTCCCTGTGTCTTTGCAAGGGCCAGTGCATATGCAAATCAAGTACTGCCAGGTGAGCTCTAGGAGCACTTCCTCTTATACCGCCAACGTGGAGCACGGCGCTCCCTTCATTTTGGTGTACCAAAATCTTTGTGTTGAATGAATGAACAACAAATGTTGCCTTTGAGAGATCTAAAAGAGATGGCTGGATGTTTAAATTTTTTACTCTCATTATAGCAAAGTTACAGAATGTGAAAATGTGCCTGGCAGGTTTTCTGAATCAATTTTTTAAAAAAACTCCATTTAGCATATTTTAAGTTTAAGAAGCTTCCAGTGCTAACAGACATGAGCACAGCTTTGAAATCACTCTCGCTGACTTCCTTTTCTGAGGCTTAATGAGGGAGGGGAAAACCAGGGATGGGACATTTATACATGCATTATTTTATTTTCTATATGCTGGGTCATCCATTAATATAACTTTGAAAAGAAAAGCTTTGATCCTGCAAGCAGTCAAATTTAAAGCTCTCTGCTGCAGCCCTGTGGTAATTTTCTTCAAGATCAAGTCTACTGACTACTCACTGGTTATAAAATCTGGATTATAGAGAACCAGTTGGGTAAGTGTTTACAAAAGTACTTGTTTCCAGGCCCTACTCTGAACTCTCTGCATCAGGATTTTCCTGATACCAGCCCTCTAATCTTCCCTTATATATATCTAGGTAGGTGTCCGCTTTCCTCCCAAGATTGGCACTATTGCTGGCATCAGTTTTTGAATACCCTAGTGCTAATCAAATCAGCACTTTCAGAGACAAAGGAAACATGCTATACTATATATATTTTCTGATGTCAGCCACTAGTCACGTGCAGTATTGAACCTTTAGATATAACTTGTAGGTGGAGCTGAAAATCTCAATGTTTTAATTTCTTAAATTGTAATTAACTTCAAATCAAATGGCAACATGCAATCAATGGCATCCCTACGGACTGATTAATGTGATTTACAATCAAAGGGTATAGATTTTACTGGATTTCCTTGCTGTAAATTTTGTCCCACAGATGGTAATTACATTTGAACAATGAGGATCAACAAATATAATGGCTGGCGAGACAGTACAGGGATGAAGGTACTTGCCTGGCACGTGGCCAATCCCAGTTCAATCTCTGGTATTGTACATGATTCTTCAGGCACTGATTGGAGTAATCCCTGAGCACAGAGCCAATGGTAAGCCCTGAGCACTGCTAAGTGTGGCCCCCCAAGACCCTTAGAGCAATTAAAAAATGAAGACTACAAAACAGAAAGCAAGTCTGTCACTCTCACTGTCCTCCCATTGTTCATCGATTTTCTCGAGCGGGCCCAGTAACGTCTCCATTGTGAGACTTCATTGTTACTGTGTTTGGCATATCGAATACGTCAAGGGTAGCTTGCCAGGCTCTGCCGTGTGGGCGAGATACTCTCGGTAGCTTGCCGGGCTCTCCAAGAGGAGTTGAGGTATCGAACTCGGGTCGGCCATGTTGGCTGCATGCAAGGCAAATGCCCTACCGCTGTGCTATCACTCCAGCCAAAGCAAGTCTAGTCAGTAAATATATCCTGGAAAAAGTTCAGTGAGCCTCTCCCAAAACTTTCTCAAAACACTGAGATCCAAGGAGGATATGAACAAAAAGAAAAGAGTGAAATGGAACAAGAGAAGAAATGAACTGGGGTGAAGTTCTGTGTAGAGGCAGAAGAGGGAAGAATTTGGGCCATTTCAAGCAGTATTAAGGCTATTCCTGACTATGTACTTAGGAGTAACCCCTGGCAGTGTGTTGGGGACCACACACTATAACAGGAATTGAACCTGCATCAGTCTCAGGCAAGACAAGGGCCTTACCCCTGTACTACTATCTCTTTGGCTCCCGTCTGGTTTCTTTTTGTAAAAGTTAAAAAAAAAAGTGTGTGTGTGTGTGTGTGTGTGTGTGTGTGTGTGTGTGTGTGTGTGCCAAATCTGACAATCCTCTGGGGTTACTCCTAGTTCTATACTCAGGAATTACTCTTGGCAGCACTTGGGGGATCATATGGGGTGCCAGGGATTGAACACAGGTCAGCCATGTGCAAGGGAAGTGACTTACCTACTAATCTCAAGCCTCCCATCTGGTTTCTTAACTCAGAGGGAATACGAAGCATCTGTGCACCTGAACCTAAACCTATAAAGACAGACCTCACTTATTTACTCCCCAAGACTTCTTCAAGAACTTTGGTTGGTTACTATGTGTGTGTGTGTGTGTGTGTGTGTGTGTGTAGTATCACCTGTATCACCTGTCCCGATATTCATCGATTTGCTCGAGTGGGTACCAGTAACGTCTCCCTTCATTCCAGCCCTGAGATTTTAGCAGCCTCTCCTTACTCATCTTTCCCGGCACTGCCAGACTGGAGGCTCTTTCAGGAGTCAGGGGAATGAGGTCCACCGTTACTGTTTTTGGCATATCGAATGTGCCATGGGTTGCTTACCAGGCTCTGCCTTGTGGGTGGGATACTCTAGGTAGCTTGCCGGGCTCCCCGAGAAGGACAGAGGAAGTACTTCATCACTCTCGTCCAGGAGCTTTGTTTTATAGTCTCTGGATCTTGGCCGTTGATGAGATTACATGGTATATATAGTATACATATGATGTGTATATATATATATATATGGTATATATATAGTATATATGTGTGTATAGTATATATAGTTACTTAAAATAGTAACCAGCCCAAGTGTACATGTATACTATATATATACTAAACATACAGCATATATATGGTATATATATCTATTTATGGTTAAG